GTACATATACTCTTAAAAGAGTACGTTTGGTAATCCTAATAGTGACCCTATATTTTTTTCATGATAATGGCATTAAAGATTGATGATAACATGATTATTCTAGTTTGGAAATGTTGGACAAGGTCGAACCGCCACAAATACCGATCGGTTATGGCATCAGCATAGCTTATGCATGTTTATTAGACATCATAAGATCGATCGCATTGGCTATAAATGGATTAAAAGACGATAATAATGAAAATCAGATCTATCAGCCGAGTGAATCCGAACAAAAGCTTCATGTGCAATTACTGAACTCTAGTTGGTGCGGTTTATTGGCAGCTCTCAGCCCGTTAATAGATGCCAGGTTAATAGATGCCAGCAGTCATAAATTATTATTGTATGTAATAGACAAAAAATATGGAGTGAATACAAACGTATCTGTGAATTTGCAGCACGGACGAATCGGCAACAGAAAATGTTTTAAAAGCAATTCAAACTTTCGCGTCTCTTTGCGGTCAATTAGATTTGCAAGCGCCACGCGATGCTTTTATTACTGCGATATGTAAAGCATCTCTACCACCTAATTATGCTTTGACTGTACTGTACAATGCACCTCAAGGTATACCAATCGCGAGACAGCAAGATTCGACTCAATACAATTTAACAATAGGCGAGCCTGATTATAGGCAACAAGTAGTAGCCGTTGGTACGCCACTACCAACGGCATCTTTACCAATTGGTAAGACAGTAATTCGCTCATAATTAATCATATCCATCTTACTATTATGCGATTAATCTTTTATCATATTGATTATATTCAGGTGCTCATCAAGGTCCCGTCATGTTGACTGCGAAAAATCTGCAATGCATGCGAGCACTATTATCATTAGCCCATTGTCACGGTAGCATACTTGGTAGCGCATGGCATTTGGTACTTACTACTCTTCAACATCTTGTTTGGATACTTGGTTTAAAACCTTCTACTGGCGGATCGTTGAAAGCTGGAAGAACCGCAGCTGATCCAAACGCCGTGTTAACAAACGCGGTTATGGCGGATCTACCTGTACTCAGCGCTATGCTTAGTAGATTATTTGAGAGCAGTCAGCACCTTGATGACGTTGCCTTGCATCATTTGATAGATGCTCTGTGTAAACTGAGCCATGAGGCTATGGAACTAGCGTATTCTAATCGTGAACCTTCCCTGTTTGCGGTTGCTAAACTTCTAGAGACAGGTTTAGTAAACTTATCACGTGTAGAAGTGCTTTGGAGACCATTAACAAATCATTTATTGGAAGTATGTCAGCATCCGCACATTCGTATGAGAGAATGGGGCGTAGAAGCAATTACGTATCTTGTCAAGATGGCTCTTCAGCATAAATATCCGCAACCACTTCGCGATAATCAGAAGTTACAAACATTACTATTAGGACCATTGTCCGAGTTATCATCCGTACGTCATGGAGATGTTAGACAGCGACAGTTAGAATGCGTTTTGCAAGTACTTCATGGTGCTGGAGAGACATTATACCATGGTTGGCCTTTAGTCCTCGGTATTATAGGAGCAGTTTCCGATCATCATGGGGAAGCTTTAGTGCGCATAGCTTTTCAATGTTTACAATTGGTTGTAACCGATTTTTTACCGGTTATGCCTTGGCGATGTCTTCCACTATGCGTCGATACAGCTGCTAAATTTGGATCGCAGACACAAGAATTAAATATTTCACTTACAGCTGTTGGTCTAATGTGGAACATAAGTGACTATTTCTATCAGAACCAAGAGAAATTGTGTATTTGCTTGCGTGGGGATTCGTCATCGGTATTTCCCGATTTTCCTGGTACGACAAACATGCCGTCGTTTGATAAACTCTGGATGTGTCTCTATGCAAGATTGGGAGATTTATGCGTCGATTCGCGACCCGCTGTACGTAAATCAGCAAGTCAAACCCTATTCTCAACCATATCTGCACATGGTAGCCTTCTGCATCAACCTACGTGGCAAGCTGTGCTCTGGCAAGTATTATTTCCACTGTTAGATAAAGTAAGAAGCTTATCAAATTCAGCTAGCAGCGAAAAAGTCGACACCAGTGGAAACATACTTATTCATCACAGTAGAAATACAGCACAAAAGCAATGGGCGGAAACGCAAGTTTTAACGTTAAGCGGCGTAGCTAGAGTATTTAATACAAAACGTCAACTGTTGCAAATGTTAGGAGACTTTCCAAGAGCATGGTCATTGCTCCTCGAATTTATCGAGAATTCTGCGCTTAGTAAAAACAATGAGGTATCATTAGCGGCACTGAAATCATTTCAAGAGATTCTCTTTCAACCAAAAGGAAGCGACAACGCTGAAGTGATTCAGTCAAGTGATTCGGAAGGCTTATGGACAGTGACATGGCGCGTATGGCTCAATATTGGGATGGAGAGTACTGCACCACCGCAAGAAGGTGACACCGATCCTTACGTACCGTCCCAGGCATTCCTAACTGCACTCATGCATATATTCCCAGGCGTTTTCCAGCACATAAGAAACAAGTTTATTGGCCCTGATCTACAAAAATTATGTATTGTCCTGAAGAATGCAGTGGCCGTTCCAGTACACGGTGAATCAACGCCGTACATCTTGCCATCGATGCCCGATGTAGTTCTCACTCATTTACAAGATGAAGTGTTACATTCTATGGAGCTTCTGCAAAAAGAAGCATTAAACGGCCCTGACAATTTGCGCACAATGATTGTACTGATATTTCTTCAGTTGCTGAGCTTCTCGAAGCTGGCGTGCGAAGCCCCAACATATGGTAAAATACCCACGAAACATATCTCTCAGGTAAGAGGTGTGTCCGCTGACTGGATCACGATGAATTACGTTCCATTTGGCGAGAAAGCTCTGTCGATGGTAGTGAATTTATACCAGAAGACTGCGCATGAAATGGCCGTAATCGATGGTCAGGTGTTGAAGTATATTGTAGAAGCGCTACACGTACCATTAGCCATGAAATATGCATGTCCATCCGCGACCACATGGAAACTGGCCGTGACTAGTCTTTTAGCTGTCTTGCACACTGGGCTACCGCTTGCCAGAAAATATCCCGAGCAATTCCAGAACATGTGGCTTGAGCTCGCGAGCACGCTGGACGATTTCTTGTTTCCTAAAAGGTAAATTGTTGTCTCTGATGAGTCGACAGCGGATTCTTTATCTTATTATTTTGACAACATAAATGAATTTGGTCGGTCAATTTCAGTGTACTGAATGTAGAACGAGGGGTAGAAGAGATTCAGGCTGACGAGGCGGTGGATTGTCAGGTTATGGAATTGCTGAGAGACGAAGTATTACCGCATTCTCAGCATATACCTCATCAATTTATACTGAGAGTCGTTATGCTATTAAATAAAGGTTCTATACATTCGGCCACCACAGCAAATATCGGTACATATAATATAATATATAAACTTTTTACAAAAACTCTTCTTGTATTAAATATTTCTTCAAGAGAGGGTATTATCTTTTTCTTTCACAGAAAATGGAGCAGAAACAAAACTACGGGAAGAATTCGCGAAAACTTGCTTCGAGACTTTATTACAATTTTCTCTGTTAGATGGATTGGACAACGATACGGAAAATAGTCCTAAAAAGAGTTCGGAAAGTGACGAAGGTGGAATTGCTGGGCGTTTGGCAGTTACGGCTCTTCTGCACAGATTTCAAGAGGTTCTACGGCGTTATATTGAAAGCGAGAGACGGAATGGAAAGTGCCCCTTGCCTAGGTAATAGTGTCGAAACCTTTCAACAAATTGTAAATAATTTAATGTTATTTTAGTAGATCTTTTACTTTGATAAATATTTTATATCCGAGAAATGCACGTTTTATTTTAAGTACTTATTATAGAAACCTTTTCTAGGTACAGGTTGTCGGAAATATCGTTTGTTCTGAAAGCCGTTGCCACTCTCGTAATATCGCTCAAAAAAGCACCTCCCAATAAAGGTACATTTTTATTTCTCATTTATTTTATATAAGATAATATCGCGTTTATACGTATTTAACATATTAATAAACCATTGTTTACACTTTAGTTGAAAGATCAGTATGGGAGCAGCTGATTGGATTATATCCATGCTTAGTAGAATGCACGATTGCGACTACTTCTGGTCAAGTGTCCAGATCCTTGCGAGAGGCTCTGTTACAATATCACGATTTATTACGGGCACCGATTCATAGTACGCCAACCCCTAATGGCGTTTGACCAATACATTCTTTTCTTTTCACTACGGATTTGCACTAAAAGTTGAAGTATAGGGTGAATAATTTTTTTGTGTAACGTTTTGATGCGTTACAAAATAAATGTGAGAGTAACGATTTCCCCTGATGTAATACAAGGTGTATTCGGAGAGATGCTATTAGCGCTATCGTGTCATTCTATCTTTGTTTTATGTCTAATAAACGATAAAGATAGAACGATGTAGGCCATGTTCGTATATTAGTACAGTATAGTATACACAACGGGAACTATACTTTCAGTACTGGCAGCAACTGGCAGTAATATACGAACACGGCCATAGATAGCGCTCTAATAGCGTCTCCCTGAACACATCTATAGAAGAATAATAAGTTTGCCACATAATTACGCTCTATTGGTAGAAATATCATGTTAATTCCTTTGTTATTAGTGTGATTTCAGTTGCATACAATATCTCTCTCTCTCTCTCTCTCTCTCTCTCTCTCTCTCTCCCCCCCCGTCTCCTTCCCCCTGTCTCTTTCTCTCTCACTCTCTCATCATGAGATATACACATTATTTTTACGACGTTGAAGTACAAAAATCAAAATAGAGACTTTAGATTGACGCGCTCTCATCATGAGAATTTTATATAAATTTGTATAATTTTTGTTGTTTTTGACTTTGTGATTATATCAGGAAGAATAATAAAGAAAAATCTTTTTACAAGATTTCTCTAATAGACAGCACAATAGCGATGTGAGAAATTTTCATTGCGTTTCGATTGTTATTTTAATTTATTTAAACTCGAGATAGTTATAAAGTAATAATAAATTAGAAATTGAAATATTTCCTGTTTGAGATACATGTGAAAGAGGATTTATTAATTAATACACATTATCCAGAGAGTGTAGAAATTGTGTTCTAATAGCGCAATTGTAGTTTGTTATTATTGTTCCGAGTATACAGGAGGAACGCTGTATATACATATATGCAGGGAATGTATAAGACAGCTTTTTTAATTGTAAATATTAATATAAGGTATGTATACTAACATGCAGATACAAGGCGATTTTATTAATATAGAACTTTATCATTTACTATTCTTATAAATTGCGTGGCATCGTAAATTATATTATCAAAATGTAAATAAATCTATACAGATTAAATACAGCTTTCTCTGAGCAGTTGTTATTTATATTTTTCCGTTTTAGATTCCACAATATGCTTGAATCATAAATGTTTATATACGTTTTTGGTCCTCTAAAAACTTGCCCAGATAAGATCGCATTACATTGAAATGCTTCGTCGCTAACAAAATAGCAAGGTGTTTCCTGATCACTTCCTGGGAGACGAGCTGTCCCTCTTGGCAAATTCAGCATACCTCCGTACACTGCTTTTCCGAAGGTCAATCTTAACAAAATTCCTTCATCGCTATCGAACAGCGTAAATCGATACCTAGCATCACAATTTATGCAGCCATCGATACGAAGCTAATTAAATGTCTTCTTGTAATTGAAGTGTATAGCTCCAGAGTTCGGAGGTGCCTGAATTGTCATGTACTTGCCATCGATCGCTCCAATACAATTTGGTAAATTCACAATCTTAAAAAATCTGAACAGATCTCTTTCCATTCGACTTCTGTCGGACATTTCATATAGATTGACATTAAAACATTTTCTATAACATGTTTCTTTGACAATCATATATATCAGCAGTGGACTTTCTGGCTCTAGAACAGACAGCATTTGGTCTCTGGTTGTCAAATATCTGTAACACATTAATACATTAGATTAATTTTTAGCTTGTTGAAACATAATTAATAAATTAAATATAATCTAACAGTTGAAACGGAAATGTACCTCAATGTTATTATGTGGTACTGTTCTGGTCATATCGATGGTTTGTTATACTCCTTTTTTCCAAATACGGACCCAATCAAAGTTCATCAAATGTAGGCACATCCATTCTTGTATATCGGAAGAAGAGATCCAAATCTTTTTTTAACTCTAAAAATAGAGTTGAGAAGTCGCCATACTCTGGATGTTTCTCCTCTGGGACGTACCCCCCATCGTCGATTTCTCCAACGCTTGCTCTTTTTGCCTTCCATGCAATGTACAATACTAGCATAGCTACTTGCATTGTACAGATAAGTGTCAATTGATCTTTCATCTTACCTAAATATAATTTGCGTGAAAATGTAATATATATAATATACATATAGAACAATATATGTATATAAATATATTTCAAAAGTATTTTCTCTGTAATATTTCAATTAAAAAAATGTTAAAACACTATAAAATATATTTACCAAAATTTGCTGACGAAAACTTGCTGAAAAAGTATTCAGTCAAAAACGATTTTGAACGTTTTGATATAATCGCAATTTGTTAACATTTGAAGCAGATGGAAGTGTAGACTACAATCTATCCGATTGGTTGACCTTTATTTCTTTCGCGGCGTTGTGCAATGAAGGCGACATGCGACAATTTATTATCGCTTATTTCTACATTATTCCTCTATCGCTGTTTCCAGGAAAAAATGTTTCATATATAATTATATAAAAAATTAACATTTTATATATAATTATATATGTTCATATATATAACATTTTTTTCCCATTCTTCTTATCGCTATTGCCTCATATTGTGTTTATAGGGCGCTTTATGCATATATTGCTTCAGTCGCATTAAACAAAGAAATATCGACTAATTAAGCACATTTAGGGCATAAGCGCAAAAATGACCGTAACTCTGAGTCGTGGAACGTAAATCGTAGTTGTAGGTTGACCAAAACGTTGACCTACGACTACGACTCGTGTTTCACGACTCAGTTACGACCATCTTTGTGCTGAAGCCCTAAGCTAGTCTACTGTTCTTTCTTATATTATTATGACAAAACATTATTATTGCGAATTCGGATTCAGTAATGCATTAAAAACTTTAAGAAATTACTTTTCTTTTCAAGACAGCATCATAAAGTTAAAATTTGTAACTCTGTATTATTGATACAAATCATTCCCAAATAGCGAAGATTTAGTCATATAGACTTTTAATATATATATATATATATGGATATTATGTCGTTGTATTTATCACTTACAATAATTCATGATTATAATGTTACATAAAAGAAACGTTCCGCATTACATTAATCGAAAATTAATAATATTAATAATAAAATAATAATAATGAAATTTATTACAATCTTCGAAAAGAAAGACGTAGCCATACTTTGTTCGCCAATTATGGCGTTAAATTGATGCGAAAGTATAGGTGTAAAAATAAATGCGAACGTGCATACGGCTATTTATGATATAAGTTTGATGAATGATATCGGGTATTACTACCATGTGAGAGCTGGTTGCACCGATACCATTTAGCACTAACTAACAATTAACTTAACTATCACTCACTGTGAATGTTATGAGCACGGCGATAGTCTGGCAATAAATTCGGCAACTATCTATAAAGAAATCACGTGTAACTTAGATCCTTAAAACTATCTTCAAAAAGAGGAGAATACTTGGTATCCTTTGCACAAACAGGATATTATTTTAGAATATAAATTAATCCAATAAATTAAGTTTTAAATAGCTTCACTGCAATGATGATGCAATCGGATATTCATTCCGATATATTGCGTTTAACCCTAAGATGAATTCGACAATTCAGCCAGAATATCGTGGTCGCGATCTTCTGCGTCACCTATTCTGCGGCAGTTATGATAGTTACACGATGACAAATAAATAATTTATGTACAAAGCCAGCGAAGATTTTTGTCGACTGGATGAAAGAGGGGAACCGAGGGCAGTGTCGGGTGTGTTCATTTCCGGCGTTTATTTAATTGCTGGCTCTCCGCTTCGCGTCAAATCGTGTTTTGAATGAAGAACGCTATATGTCGACGACTTATCGCAGCCGTGCGTGTTCTTTTACAGTAACCGTTAGCACAATATCCTATAAAAAAACGAGTATATTAAGAGAAATTAGCAAAATTAAGAATCGGTATAGGAAACATTTGAATTATTTCCCATCCCATTTCTATTTCCAAGTAGCTTTACTTTACTTTCATAAGCGAATAAAGAAAATAATCTTTAGAATTTTCATTAAAAAATTTGTTTAAGTCACTCCCCCGATTTTAAAGATTGGGAATTCATTACTTTAAATCCTTATTAATGCTTTGCAATTGACCAATTAATTACAAAATGATAGCAAACAATTGTATTATTGATTTAGGCGGGCTTGTGCACTGCCTATCGAAGCGAGATTATAGGGGCGTTAGCTCGACTGGTGGTTGACCCATCTTTGTTCGTAGAGTCGCAACGTCATCCTCTATCTGAATTAACAATTTGTATTTCTGCAAGAAAGAAATAGTTGTATATTAAATAAAATATATTTTAAATATATTTTATTTTTAATATAAACTTCCTCTCAATAAATTTCTTCTCCAATTTGTTTATACTTACTGTCCTATTATCGCCTGTTGTAGTCATCCAGGCATAAACCATATATCCAGGTATGCATAGCATGGAAGATAGCGCTGTAAACCAACCTAACACATGCGACCACCACGGGTATTCATAATCTAAATACTTTATAGGTGTCCACTGAACCAGATTGAAGACAAATACCCCCTAATTACAAATTAAATGATATATATTATATAATTATGTAATTATGTATAATATATATATTATGTATATAAAAGTTTCTGAATTATAAGTATTTAAAGTTAGCAAATCATAGTCTGAAGTTTGCACATTAATTAAGATAATTACGGAGAAAGCAATCGGTTCAAATCATTTGACCCTTCTCAGATATACACAATAAATAAACGTATTGTACTTACAACGCAAATCATCGGGGTAGTCACTACCCAGCAAAATTTCCACCACATAAGGGGATAGTATCCGATCATATCGCGAAGGGCGTCATAAAATCGATTTACGCCAAACGCCCAACTGATTGATATGCACTCGAAAAATATAAGAAAGAGTAAGCAGAAGCCGGAGACAGCGTACGAATCAAGGATTTGGAAAACGTACATGCCACCTTGAGAAATACATGACAATCCGATGACATAGGACAGGGCGCACACGATGGCGATAAACAACTCCTTGCGACGTCGTAACAGCTGCGGCCATTCGTCCACCTGAAAAGAAATCGAACAATCTTAAAATTACAGTCGAAAATTAAATTAAATATTTTAAATTTTAAAAGACGTAATCTAAGGAGAAAAGTAAATCTATCCAATTCCTTAATTTTTTCTATTAATATTTATTTATTTTATTTCTTATATTTAAAAATATAAGTTTTCGAAATTTGATAACTTTATTAAGGATTAGGTGATACAAATAAGAAAATGTAAATATGAGAAACAAAATTGCCGTGCTTTTCAAGAGAATACCATAGCCGTAACGAAGCCTTCCATTGTGCAGAACTGGGAGTCAAGTCCAATAAGCAGCAGCATGAAGAAAAATAGGCATGACCAAAGTGGAGCACCCGGCAGTTGAAGAACAGCCGATGGATAAGCCAAGAAGGCCAATCCTGGTCCGGAAGCGGCTACTTCGGCAACCGGTTTCTGCTGCTCGTGCGCCATAAAACCAACCACCGAGAATATCACAAAACCCGCGAACATGCTAGTGGAAGAGTTAACCGAGCAAACGATTAGAGCGTCCTTGTAAACGTTGTTGGTGAATTTGTTGTAACTACCGAGAGCTACCAGGGTACCGAGTCCGAGACCGTACGAAAAAAAGATTTGTGTCACTGCATCGATCCATACCTACGAATTTTATTTTGTATGAATACATCAAAAACAGAATCTGGAATATTCTTAAAGTGTCCTTAGATTATTTTATTTCAAATGATATTATCAGAATTAGCTATTGAAAGATACCTTTTTTTTTTTACAGAACATGTTTTCAACACTCTGATAAACCTTCTTAATTTAATATTGTCCGTGTATGCAATACTTGAGGTTAGAATTAATTATAACTCAAGAGGAAATTGAATATCGATACAATCATACAATACTGGTCTGGTACCAACTACGCTACTATTATATAAAATAATTTATAGAATAGTCTTAAAAACAAAGCAGCTCCAAAAATTAATGAAAGAAAATAACTTACCTCGGATTCCCGTAGCTTAGACAAGTTTGGACTAATATAAAATCGAATGCCTTCCATAGCGCCGGGTAGTGTAATACCACGGATCAGAAGAACAGTGAGCAACACATATGGAAAGAGAGATGTAAAATAGACAACTTTGCCAGTCCACTTGACACCCTTCCAGATGCAAAAATAGCAAATTATCCACACCAATAACAATGTCCCCGCCAATTCCCATCGAATATTGCCCACGGACTCAATACCACCACTGATTTGTAAAGCTCGACGTCTGAAAAATTAGAGACAAAAATACAATTATGAATGATTAAAACTAAATAATGCAGAGACAGTAAGACTTTAAAAGTATTCTTTAAAAGTATTGTTCGTAGTTCGTACTAATGATGTTTTGGACCAAAAAGTTATGATTATATAAAAATTTTAATGATATCTTACTGCAGACATTATTTCATGTCATTACAGTATAATATAATATAATAATATAATATAATATTATATAATATTTTGATGTTTCGCTATACTTCATTTTATATCGATATTAAAATCTATAATGGAACTTTATAACCATCGTCGTAACGTCGATTTAAGATCTTCTTTTTCTATTGTTCGATATTAGTAAAAAAAGAAAATTAAATAATAATGTGAAACAAACGTAATACTCTTGACAATATATTAACACAAAATATTATTTTTATGCCATATGATTATTAACTGTTCTTTTTATTAAATAATAATTATAATTAAATAAATATCTCAGACAGCAGGTTTAATGTTTCCCTCTTCCCAAACATCCCTTAACAGAGTTTATATAAAGGGAGCTCCTCCTTCAGAGGAATAGCTCAGTATCAGTACGCTCCTCGCCCTGATGAAGTAAACAGCAAGGTTCACGAAACGTTGGCATTAGTAATGGATCACGACATGGCGATAAACCCATAAACCTTTTTATATTTAATAACCCTCTAAAGTAAACATCCATGGAAGCTTCAAAAGTATTGTTGCAATATATCACAATAATATTGTTACAATATATCACAGTAATATTGTTGCAGTATATCAGTATTAAACGGGAAGCACAGATTCTTACATAATGCATAATACATAAGACATAAGAAATTCAACTAATCAGAGTTCTTTATTTTATGGAAAGGAAGGACTCTTCGATTGATTCAATTTCTTATGCATTACGTGTTATGCGTTATGCAAGAGTCTGTGCTCCCCGCTTTATTGTGGCAATATAACGTCTTAAGTAGCAGAATGATTTATTCTAGCAGAAACATTTATAATTATTCAATCCCTCCCCGAATAGTACAATGGTGAATAGAAGTTTATAGAGAATTTATTTTAAAGAATACATATTGAATTAGAAAAATGAATATATGAAGAATTCTTGAAGAATTAATCACAAACAGTTCGTCTTGAAGTATTCCTCAAAAATTCATTATAATGAAACTGCGAGACTTAATATTTTGAATTTGAACCTGAGAATTCATAAGGAATTATAAGTATGAGCGCATGTGCGAGATGACGCGATATCTAGATGATTTTGCAGTCTCATCAGCTATGTGTAGCGTACGTGTATTATAATTATCAAATAAACAATCCATTAAGTATACAATATTATACCTCCGCATTAACGATATGATAAGGAAAGCAAATCCACATTTTATTGAATGGTAAGCACGGTTGAACTGTATTCATTTATTATATAAGTTTATACAAATTGCTATTTACATAATCTCGAAATAATCGCATGCGACAGGATTTGTTATCTTCACTGTTATTACATTCACGTTATTAAAAAATTACGTTAATTCCATAAAATTTCTTTCGTGACCAACTTTTTAATATAAATAAATAATGAACGATGGTAATAACTTTTAATTAGAATGTGAGTTATGATAGTTATTGTATTGACAATTAGTATTATTTTCTAATTAATATCATATGGAGCAATTCTTAAAATAACACACACATTAAAAATATTAATTCAATAATTTTTTTAAGAATTTATTAAAATGATTTAATATTCACAATAAAAATATTACATAATAAATATAATCATCAATTACCTCAAAGTGGTCCACTGAGGATAATTTTCATTTTTTATTTACATAAAAATTTCTAAACATTGCTCAATGTTATAAATATATGGGGAAAAATCTGGTACCAATAACTTTCATGGATTCTTTATAAAAAATTTCGAAAAAAATATAAAAATAGCTTCCACACATATTATAGAGAACCCTCTTGATATATTTCCACCACGGCTTTGTCAACGAGGATGTGTGTATTCACAGAGGTGAGTGATTTTTATGATATATATATAAAAAGTATTCATATATTATTCCAAACATTTCATTAATATTTGAGTACTCTATGATAGTTCTTCTGCTGTTCCGAAATATTCGGCACGATACAAATTGAACTTCTTATGAATAATTAGCTACCCATACAGCACAGAATTTGCAACAATATCGCTGCAATAACGCTGCAATATTACTGCAACATGCAATATTGCTGCAATGTTGCAGCATTATTGCAGCAACTTTTGTGCTGTAGGGGTAATCAGGATCAGTTCCGTACAATAGAAGTTAAGCAGTGCTAGATATATGGCTCGGGATAAGTAATTGCGGTGAACTTTTTTCCTTTTTAATCATATACGTATATGTTGTCATTTTATCATCGTGAGTATGATATGATTTGACATGAAACCTTGAAAATATCAATTAGTGATGTCAATAGTGGTTAATAAATGACAAAATTTAACGTCTAAACTAAATTTTTTGTGTCTGCTACTTGAAACGTACTCGAAAGTAAATGGAAAATTGTATTGATACTGACTCCCAAAACTCCTTCACAGGATCCGTAAGCTCCGATACTGTCACATTAATATGATTGAGTGTGCACATCTTGACGATGCTACCGTTCCTCGCCGAGATCTCGCTCCAGCAAAACAACGAGCTTCTGTCGTAAGGATTCACGCAATTCTTGGTGTTCCAATCATTGTTACAGCTTCCCCAAGGCAATTCTACGGGTTGTATAAGATAGACTTATTCAATAAAATTTTTAATTTTTGTTTTTCGTCATTATCATTAAATGAAAAATGTCCGAGATATTACAAGAAAGACAGAATTTTTCGGTGTAAATAAATTCAATGTGCTCACCACTGCGCATTGACATGAAAAAATAAAAAATCGCCCAGGCTAGAATAACGATGTAATAGACATTCATCCAACAGGACATGACAGCGGCGGCGTAACCGATGCCCTTAAAGAGTGGCGCTATTTTGAAAACTCCGAGGCCGCCTACCGTGAGCATTTGCCCGAGAGCCAATTCCATGAAAAACATGGGTATACCGGCCAGAAACAGTGTCAAGAAGTAGGGTATTAGGAAAGCACCACCGCCGTTTTTATAGCATAGGTATGGAAATCGCCAGACATTACCAAGACCGATTGCCAGGCCAACCTTAAAGAAACAATGAAGAAATGGTAAACATCAAAGCACAATTAGTGCTAATATCTTTGTACTTTTAAATGAATAATTGTTTTTTTTTTTTGGCATATTATTGTTCCTCTGTTTCAATTTGATATTCATAGAAATATATTTGAAAATTTAAAGGATTTTATCTTGTAAGATCGCTTTGCCCTGATGCTTTTTATCAATAATTATATTTGGCAACATTAATATATGCTTAAAAAAACTATGCATTGAGTAAAAGATTTGAATATATAATGATGCATTACCACACTGAGGATAAAATCCAGCTTGGTGCTCCATGTTCCACGATCTGGAAGAGGTTTCTTGTTGGATGTTGAACAAGTTAGATTTAACGTTGTCCTGCCGTTGTCAGTGTTTTCTGAATCAGCCACTTCAGGATCCCGTGATGCTTCTGTCATGATTAAAGCTTTCGTGATGAGCACACTCAGTGTTCTCTCGATATTCTCTGCTCGTGTATGCACTCCGGTTGATTATCGAGTGTATCAGTGTCGTTTCAAATGCGAAGATGATAAGGAGACATAACACAATATCTGCGAAACGAATTTCACAAGTTGCTTTCTCCAAAGTGATAGAATATGGACTGCGACATCCGTGTGTCAAATTAGTACACAAAAATAAATGAGATAGGAAGTGAAGACGTCCAGTCTTATCTCTTTTTAATTGACCGTGTAATGGGAGAGAGAAGGCCATCTTCACGCTCCCTCTCTTTCACTTTTGTTGATCATATTTGATACGGAGTCCATATTATATTTCTTTTGTTTTCTCGAAGATATACAACAAATCTTAAATAAAACTATGATATATTGCATGAAGAAGATTCGAAGAATTTCTTACTTTAAATCTGCGAATGTGCAAATAGAAACTTTTTCTACAACCAACGCTCTTTCTTCCTTTTTTACTTTTAAATTACGAAAACTTAATACAAGCTTTTTCAACTTACTGAAAGATGTTGAATAACTGTAACACGTAAAATATATTAGCGTCGAGATGCAATATTGAAATTCTCATCTTTTTCTCATCTTTTAAAAAGTTCTGACCACTATTCTTATTCTTTGTAAACTCCAGATATTCTTCTGTCACCAGGAAAATTTACGGAAAACGTTGAAAATCATACATTTGTGTCAAAAATAAATACTTTTAAATACCGAAAAAAGCCGATTGATAATAATGAGTATTAAAGTGGACTATTGAGAGAGCAATCGGTTAAGAGTATGCGTTTTTCTATTAGATAATTAAGCTATGCCCGTATGTGTCTCAATAATTAATTATTGAAAGGACTTCATCTAAATCGTAATGTGTTATGGCACTAAAATTAATTTTGTAATTGGGTCATTAATTGATAACATAAGTCATTTATTTTAAATACGAGGTCACGTCAATAAAAGAATTAATGAAGCTATTGGAAATGAATATTACAATGTAGTAATATGTTTGAATATGTATTTGAGAGAGACTGCCTAATTCAAACTAATTTAATGTATATTCAACGCATATTTACAAAAAAATTCCTTATCAGTATAATATATATGATTTTATTTACATTATATCTTTAAAATTATTATCTATAATAAAGAAGAATTTAAAGGAATAATTACAATTATTGCTGCCAATGCAATGATTTCAATTGTTCTATAGAAATACAAAACACTTCAGTTATGTTAGTTAATTCTATATACGTCTGTGAAATGTATTTAACATTAAATTAAATAAAAAATCAATATCAATACTTGAAAAATGTTAGTTTGCGTTAATTGTTTCAATTTAATTTCACAATTATTAATTGTTTTCAATGACGCTTCTCAAATTGATGCTAAAAGCATATCTTTAAAATTATTTCTAACAATCTACGTTTATATCAAACACTTTTCTCCAAACTGACAGCAAGTCACAATAAAATACTTGATTTAATTTCAATCAAACTTGAATCACAAACAAGAATTTCACTGAATCAACGGAGACTTGCGAAGAATTCCGCAAGAAAAGCAAGATATTCTCTGAGGTACGTAAAAGAAGGAGGGTGGACGGTGGCCCGTTGGTACGTTAAATACAAATGTCCGGCAGAGGGTCCATATAATAAATATCGCGATGGTACGTGTTTCCTTGCTCCTCCCTTCCCACCACCGTCACTCATCCCAGCTCCCTCTTCCTCTTCCACGCTCATAAAAAACAGCTATATTCTAATCAGCCGAGGATGTGGCGTTCCGCGTGTCGCACCGGAATTTTCATTGTCGTCACCTGTCATGAATCTTGTCTCGGCGGAAAGTGCCGCGAATTTTCTTTCTACACGAAATGTTATAACTGTTTTTACAGGAAGTACAGACATAGAGCAAAGTAATTATGAGCACGTGGCATATAAGACTTGACAGTTTTAAGTACCATAAATCATGCACCTTTGAAATGCTATACTTGAAAATTAATTTGTTTAATTCACATGATATCAGAATATTAAATTTTAAATCTTAATTTAAATCAAACATAATTAACTTAGACGCCTACGCTTACATCTATTTGTAATGTAATTGGATTGGTCTCGTAACTTATCATGTACTTGCTTCTGGTACATGTCTTATATCCGTGATCCGACGAATCATCTATTTATGTTCAATTTGCGCCAAAAATTTGCTTTTAAATGTTTTTTGCGGCTTCCAACTATCGTTTATACAATTTTAATTTTCATATTTAAGTCAGCTTTGAGGGAAACCAAAAACCATAGTTGAAACGTTTGCGATTTTTTTGTTCTAAGTAATTTTAAGCGGAGCGCCGAGTGGCTCGTCGCTCATCGTCAGTGCGATTGATTCGCGATTTGTGGATTCGGATTCGATCCCACTTGCGTCCCATATATGCGATTTTTCGCGTTCGCCGTTCGGATTTGGCGTTAAACTGTAGATTCCCTCGAGTGTTGAGAGAACTCTGTAGAGTGAAATCCTACTACTATCAGATTGAAAAAACATAAGCAAGCTTCTGTCCCCGAAGAAGCTATAAAAGCAAATTGATACGTATGGTACTATGATCCTTAATGCAACATACAATATGCGAAGTAAGCTTGGTTTAAGAAGTAAGAGTAAGAAATTGATCAATCACAGTCGATTATTCTTTTCGCAATCGACTGTGATTAGTCAATTTCTTACTCTTACTTCTTAAATCAAGCTTACTTCGCATATTGCAGACGACCCTTAAGGGGTCGGAAAACCAAACAGGGAAAACAAAAGAAGTGATTTTAAGTAATAAACCTATTATTTGAGTGCGTCAACACCTGAAGACTCTTATCAGCTATTTGACCTGTCTTTCTCAAATTAATACAATAAACTATTAATTAATACAATAAACTATTTTAATATTATATCAGTTTCGTTAAACTAATCACTTTAGTTAGATCGTTTAATAGGTTATTGTTAGTTTTAACTATTTTTTACGGCACATATATCATAACTTTATAAAATTTGATTTTTATTGAAAATAAATCTACAAATCAAATGTCACTAATTATTTACTAATTACTCAGTATTTGCAGTGATCATTTCTACTTAAACTCAATATCTTTATTATGTTGATTCCCAAACGGTATACGAACCTTTTTAAATCCGGTGATGGAACCTTCAGTGAACCTCTCTATCCTGGAGATAGTCGCGAATGAATCACTGCAAAATAGTTTGGTTTTACCTTAATGTCGACGAGCAGAATAAGTCTGATTTGTTTTTACACACTGCACTTCCTGGGCACTCTTGATAGACGCACGAAATATATTTTTTTACTCGCCGCCGGAGTAGTAGTATTGTATCGTCCATGCAACTTTGACGATGAAAATCTTCGGTAATCGATGGAACTTGAGTTGATCAAATCGCTAAATTAATTTTCAGTTCTCCATAACAAGTGGCCTGATCGATCCCGAAATCAAAACTAATTTATCAATCACGAAATCTCAGCTCTTTGAAAAACCACTCGAGAGACAATTTTCAAATGCGATCTGCACCGATCACGATCGTGTGTTTGTGTTTGCCTGCCGTAGGTGCACTGGTTTGGAGAACACGACACGAGTATCACGGAGAGATGGAGAAGAATAATTCTTTGCGTTGCAAACGCAAACGTATTCGCGAGATACTATGTAATCGGTCTGCGATCGGTCCAGTCTTCACAGATCTTCCGTACACACCGTGCCAACTGGCAGTAACTGAAATCGTCGCGTACAGGAAGAAAATCCGTGGGTTCCCCCTTTTTTCTTTTCCCCCGCCCGTGATCTACCACGCACCCTTACGCTCTCCGCCACTCCTGTCAACGTTATTTGCCGATATGTTGAAGAGTGAGAGAGAGAAAAAGCAAATGAGAGAAAGGGGGTCATGCCAAGATCGCAACGGTATATCATCATTAAGTTGATATTTATCTACTTCCCTATCCCTCTCTTTTACTCCCTCTTCCGCGTGCTCGTAACTATATTCTTTCTTTCGGTTTCCTAATTTCGCCTTTCTGCTTTCGGCAAAAACTTATACAGACCTTACACATTTAATACCGCTGTAAGTATATTAACGAATGCCGACAATATTATTGATCGTTTAAATATTGATGGATTGATGTAGAAGATAATAGTGAGCCAAATTTCTTTATTCTCGAGCATCAACATCTTCCACCATATTTTGATGCTCAAGAATAAAAAATTCAGATCATCATTAATAATATTGTCATATTCATTGGTATTGACAGAATTATTGATCGGATATAAGATCCATGAGCTTCCATTGAGCTGAAATATTGTCAGTACTAATGATGTAAGATTGTAAAATTGATACATACTGGCTGCGGTCACAAAGTCTCACATTTGAAGCGTTTTGGTTGACCAATTAGGAAAAAGAATTTTACAAATTGACCAAAAAATCGCTTTAAAGCATTTGTAGCATCGCGTTGATCGTATCAATATTTTACTGATTCAATATTACTGATAGGTATTTTTCTTCTGTATATCTAACAACTTGACTTTCGAATTTTTCTGAGTGCATGTACGTGCTTTCGTCTTCGCGAGCTTCACTTTAAACTTAGAATATATTATGCAGCACTTTCAAAATTTAAATGCGGTTCTAAATATGTTGTAAAGATTTTTTAAAAAAGTAGAATTTTTCAACGAGAACATACTCTACGTCGAAATTTGATCATCAATATCTTTCTTCATCACAAAATAGCATAGCGATTATATTTTAGAGAAATAATTATTCACCATAAAGCATATAAAAAATAAAACTATAATGTATGTAAAAAAACATTTTGTAGTGTCAAAAAACATTTTGTCATTTATAAGAAAACAAATAGTAATAATTTTAATAAATAATGTATTCTTGACAGGTTTTAATTAAAACGGACTACGTTTTCGACAGAAAAGCAAAAGAAATCTTAATATTTAAATATTTTTGCTGCATTTATTATTCATATTTATAAAATAAAGCATTGAACAATATAGACGTAACATATATTACGTTTATTTTAATTATTTTGAAATCAAGAGCTATGAGTAAATAAAGCAATTCTCTCTAATAAGTCAAAATCGAATCAATTAATAAAAATCTAAACTATCTCTGGCAGGATTTTTATTTCGTTTGTCATCTATGCTAATTTCAATAATACGTGTGGCACACAATATTTATGGTTCTCAAAACTACCCTCAATTGCAGACGTGTGTCATCTTCCATTATCACTTCTCCCGGATAATCCTCATTTAAGCCGTTAAATGTATTTGCCAAGAAGTACATGAGATGTCTCTCATTGTATCACTGAGAAAAATATTCAGGTTTATTCGAATCATAATCACATTTCCGATATAAAATTGATTGCTAATATTTAACACAAATCTGAAGACCTTTTTAGGTAGAATATTATAATTTCATTATTCTATTGCGATCAATGGAAAGAGCAATGAGCTTTTTGCAGATATATCCAAATTAGCCGCTATCGATGTGGAAATGAACATCTCGCGTTTATTATGCAATTTTTTTTCCATTAATTATTGGCGATGTCGCGACAAATTGATACATACTGTAGGTTAAAAATCACAAAAGATTAAAAATCTTTAATAGAGAAAGAGGAAAAGGAAGTGTAAGAGAGAGAAAAATTCTTATTATTATACCTTTTTTACTTAAACTTAATTTAATCAGGCACTAACGCGCAACTTCCTATAAGATCATTTAGTAAGCCTTTTGATAAATGACCTAATAGGAATCGTAGCTCATTATATTATACTATTTTGTATATAAATAATAGTACAAATGTGTGTGTATGTGTGTCTTATAAGCCTAGCAATGTGACTACACAATGAATCGGAAATAAAAGCCTCAAACAGTTGAGCTGGGGGTTTATTTTTGAAAAGAAACGTATACAAAAGTCTAGGGAAATATTACAGTATACGTTACGTATACTATAGTATTTTCCTAGTTTTTCGTATACGTTTCTTTTCAAGAATAGAGTTCCCGGATCTTTAGTGCCGAAATAATTCTGTGTGAATTTATATATATTATATATCATATCCAATCTCTCGAACTGCGCGCCAAATTTATTTTCAGTCTTGAAACGCAATTTTAATAGAACTAGTGTACTAATTAATATTGCAAATAATAGTAAACTGAAGTAGTAATATCCTTACAAAAAAACACTGAAAATTTCGAAAAAAAAAAACATTGGAAATTAATTGTTAACACTAAATTTTTCAGTTTTTTTTTTCGAAATTTTCAGTGATTTTTTTTCGTAAATGTATACAATCAGATTGAGAAAAAAAGATGAAAGATGTAAAAATTTAATTGTGCAAAAAAAATAAATCTAAGATTTGCCTTTTTTCCATCTTCTTTTCGATATTTAATCATACATTCTATTATATTTTAGTAAATATCTGTTCCCTGTTTCCTGTTTTCTAACTCCACTTTTTAAAATTCTCAATTCAATACCAGAACATGTACATACACGATTGGTCCACATTACTTCGTCAGCTTTTATTATATTTAATTTGGTGAAGTCATCAGATTTAGCTTACGATAAATTTAATTATAATATTAAAATATTGACGCGCTTAAAAAACAACGGGCGTGCGAATACAGAGTATCCCAAAATTTATGACTCAAAATACTATAGCAAGATAGTTCTTCAAAAATTAAATAAAGATGTTATTTGTAAATTTTTATTTTAAGTAGTAATTTTCGAGATAATAAGAATTTATATATGGCCAATTACAGACTATGTTTAAATGGCCATATGAGTCACGCATGCAGTAGTGAGCGCTGCAGATGAGCACGTACTTTAACACATTCACTAATACAGGTGACTATCTAAACCATCTAATTGTGGTCATATTTAAATTCTTATTTTACAATAAAAAAAATAGTTTGATATAAAAATTTAATAACAATCGTTTTACTTAATTTTTCAAAAACCTTCCTACTATTTTGAATTACAAATTTTGTATATGACATCATTAGAAAGGTCTTCCAATTTCCTACAGAAATCTGCCAAAACTTTGCCGCTTATAATATTTTTTGTATGTTCATCGTTGGATTCCCTAGCTTAGTGCGGCGCATGCGCAAAAAAGCGGGCCCGTGGGATGACTGACGTATACGTCATCGTTCCTTCGCGATACATTGCGAATGCTTGAGAATGCAAAAAAAACGGACAACGAGCTAAAAACGGTAAAAAATTTTTATAAAGAAATTGTCAAAATAATAATTAATCCAAAAGAATGTCACAATATTAATTAGTTCAATTTGAATTAATGTATTTATGCATAAGAAGTCGACACATATCTTTTTAGCAATTTCAATGCAAAAGATAAGAAAAATAGTGTTAATTATATAAATTATTAAAAAAAATTTATACACTTTGAAAATTCATAAAATTAAGCATACCATTCTTTTAAAAATAAGATATTTTTCGACTTCTTGAATATTTTATGTAGATAAAGAAATAAAGAAAGGTACCCCTGCAAAAAAAACGAGCTAATAAATTTTAGCTCAAATTTTAATATTTTTCAATAGTATTTTTCACTCAGAGCGAAAGTATTGTGGACAACTTTTTCTTGTAAACTTATTGTAAGTTGTTCTTCAGAAATTTACTCAGAAATCGGCCCGAAGTTTGCAGACAAAGAGATATCTTGGCAACAGTTCGTTTTTGGATCTATGTTTATTAGGACTTTTTGACTTATTTTTTTGTTGTTCCATATGCCCTTAAAAAGTCTGTGACTCTTTTTTAGAGACATATATATATACACAAATACACACTTTTGTGTATATATACACAGATACACACATTGAATTTTTCCGTCATTACCCCCACCGCCACCATTGTCGATTTCCGAACGTTTTTGATGAAACGAAATGGCGATGAAGTAGGTGAGCAAGACTAGGAAGCTGGTATATCCGGAGGGTTCACGTGACACCGATCCGTCCCCGCATCCGTTCTGGGTACAGTCCGTTGTATAGGTCATGAGGAGAGCCCTGGATTGACAAGAGCTGTAAAACTTGCGCTCGTAAGCGCTCCGAACCGGAGCTTTTTTGGCTTGCGACGTCGAAGTCGCGATCTAAATTTCATGATTGATCCTAATTGATCTCTTCCAAATATTTTCTTCATTTTTTCCATTGACATCCACTTAGCTTTCAAAATTGATCACTGCAATGCGTGCGAGGAAATTTGCTTGCGTTGATTCTGGTCTAATTCTTTGTTCCGTTGGTCAATCGCCTCACGTTTCCTCAGAAATTTAAAAGTGCGTCCAGATTATCGAGTCGAACCTCGAGCTGTGAGAATTTCGATAAACATTTGTTACGCAACTCGGCAAAAAACAATGAAAGTTAGCCGAAATGCTCACGGCTTTTTGTTTTTGAGAAAATAGCAATATATTTTGTATATCACGCAACATGATTGCTTGATAGCATTAGACA